ATAAATACACAAATATATATCATTTATGTATTTTATATATGTTAGTGAAGTCCGGTTAAGCACAACTTTTTTTTCTAGGCAATACCATTACATTTTATTTGCATAAAGCTTGGTTTTCAGAAATGCTGCATCCTGCAAGGAAATCTCATTCTCAGGGAACAAACTTTGAAAATTAACCCCCCGGACTACTTGCCATCAAGAGAGGACACAGGCCCAAAGATGATATACAGCAGGCGAGCTTGATTGACCATGGGCCACGGCTTTAAAATGCGAGTCAACCAAAATGCAGAATCACTTTGATGAATCCAGTGGTTCAACAAGACGCTACGACAGTATAACCTTATCCGCAGCTCTAGCTTTCGGGCACTTCCTGGGGTAAAAGAATGTAGATATTATAAATCCATTAAGCCTTGCACAATACAGATTTTTTTTTTTTTAAAACAGGAAGAGAAAGGATTTTTTTAAAGCTGCCCAAGAACATCTAGGGGGATTTAATTAAATTCTCAGCTGTTACTTCCTGAGTCTGGCTATTTTGGATACGTTGCACTAATTCAGGCCATAGAATTTGTCGATGCACCCTCTGGTACCTTTCTGCAGCAACTCATGCATGTCTTCAAGGGCTCTCAGCTATGTTTTTTGGTTTCTGTTGTTTGGCATCAGTACGTGGAAATAGGAGGAAGTGTGTATATGGCTGTGTGTAAAGTGTTCCGCAGAAACACCCGGTTCTGTGCCGGGTAACATGAGAATTTCTTGAGAGGCATGTGCCACGTCACTGTTGTGTTTCAGAAATATGAAACCTAACTTTTTACTGCATCACTTTATTTCTGCATTGGTTCCTTTCCCATTGATTTCACTGGCATTGGTGTACAGTAGGAAAGATTCAAGTCCATGTTACTGTTTACATGTACATAAAATGCATTTGTTTGATAATGGAATGATTCCAAAAAACCTAAATGCCTTTCAAGACACCTCTTATGTGTCAAAGACAAAAGCACTTATCTTTGGTTTTGGTGAAGGAAAAAATAGCTGTATTCATCTATATGAAGGCCAAGTATTTGCTTGAGAATGCCTGCTTTCTGCGTAATGCTGGAGCTAACAGAATGTACATGAGAGTCAGGAAAGGATTGGTGTTACAAGGCTTAGCTGAGCTAAAACATTCTCAATTCTAGACATATTTTGTTTGCAATAATCAAGATCCATTTTCTGACTTCTCCATGATAGCGCATTTTGATTTTGTAGGACTTTTGTCTGCTTTGATGATTACCTGGTTTGCTGCTGACAACTGTCTGCACTTTACGAGGTAAATTGCTCAGCTCACAGAGGAAGTTAAAAACCCGGTGGCACTCCAGTTCATCCCAGCCTGCTGTTAGGATCTGAAGATTACAAAAGAAAGGGGGTAAAAATGAATAGATTGAGCCATAAATTTAGATCACACTGCCATTTCTCATATTAGATCAATACAATCTGTCCTGCAATTTATCAGAAGAACAGAGAGGGAAGGTGCCATACCTGGAGTGTGGCGCCTGCACAGCGTCTCCCTGATGAGCGTAGGGAAACCATTACCTGCGACAGAGGTGCTGCACATGATGGCAGAGGTTGTACTTAAGCTTAAAGCAGCCCCGGAATCAAAACCTGCTAATTCAGGGCCAAGATCTTATTTTTGAACCTTACGAGGAAAAGCACACAAAGGTATTTGCTACAAAGACAAATGTCCCAGCACAAATAATTATTTGTAACTCCTAGCCACAGAAAGATAACAACTTTTTTTTTGTATTATCAAATACTTTAATGCTGCATACGTATACAGCACCTGTATGCACAAGTTTCTAAGACTTAAATGCATTTAAAATGTGCTCAAAATGCCTGTTCTTCTAAGAGAGAATTTGTTTCGGTATTTTTTTTTTTAAACAAAGTTACTCTCCAGTAAAGCCTCCATTGTGGCAATTCTAACATTTCACAATCAAACATCTCAAGTAGTATTAAAAAGGTCCTACCCTTAGCGTTTTACTGCATATTTGCAATCACAGTGGTCATTACAGTAAATAAGCTGTGGATTGCTGAACTAATTCATTTGACACTGATTTTATTTTTTTTTTTAAGATTAATTTTAAGCTACCACAAGCTAACAAAAATATTCTGGCGTATGATGTGTATAGCCATTTACTTTTAAACTAACCCGTCTCTGCTCTTGATTTGTGAACCTGAAGCTGTGTAATAAAATGCTCCCCTTCTCCCATGTCTTCTAAGATAATATATCGCTAATTAAAATCCAGACTGGTTGGTAGTGAAATCCAGACCAAGGAATTCTCAAGAGTCAAATCAGCAACTTTAACAACCAGAAAGGAAATTCAGAGAACTGTGTGAATAAATACCTTCCCCCCTACCCCCCAAGGCTCAAAACCATCTTATACTTCTAAATATCTTGCAAAACCAGAGATTAGTTTAGAAAACTACCTTAATTTTCTTTTATATTTGTGATACTTGCCTTCTTTACATAAAGATACTGTACCTGTAAAAATACCCCATAGCACTGTAATCCTAAACAACGCAAAGGACTTGGACAACCATTAAGTTTAAAACAGGAAACCTGCAAGGTGCAAAACACTAGTAATTTATCTTAACTGACCGTAAGCTAATTCCTGTGATTGAAAATTCACTGTACTACTTGTGTACTTCGATACCGATTAGAGAGATGTAGAGGGATTCCTTTCCCTTGTTGTATAAGGAAACAAGTTACAGTACCTATGTTATGGCTTAGCATTACATTCAAAACTGTGGTCAAATGCGTGTGCAAAACTAAGCTACGAAGAGCAACCCTGTTTTCAGGAGAGTAAAATTTCTATGAAGAGCTGTGCTCTTCCACTGCAAAATTTCCAACAGTCCCCAAACTTAAGAAAAGTTGAAAACCACTGATCTTGGAATATGATATCTTAGTACAACAGCCTTGTGTTCAATGTGCTGGCTGAGGCTTTTCTATTATTATTAAAAAGAGACTAATTTCAAATCAATAAATTCATTACACAGTGGTAATAGACTCCAGCAAAAGGACAGTAAAAGGCATAATTCAGCTAACAACTGCCTTACAGAAAGGGTATTGTAAGTGCAAGAGACAATTTGAAACATTAGTGAAAGGAATGTGAACTTACTTCTGAGAGAATCTTGTGTATGTACTTTAGCCTATCTTTTGTGGGCAACAGAAGCGTGCATCTTTTAAGCAACAATCCTGTGAACAAAACCAGTAGAAACACGACTATGAGTATACGTACATGGCACATACACTACTGAATCAGCTTAAGCATTCACACCGCAGGCACGCATGCACTAGTGAGAAAAAGCTGCTACTGCAAGGCGAAAAGAGCAGCACAACATAGTAATCTGTGCTTTGGAGAAGGGGTGTGTGCTTTTGTAGCAGGAACATTTTTACTAAAAAATGTTGTCAGGGAGTATGTAGGCTTCCTATGCCGTAACTTGTTTATTGTGTTGTTTTAAAGTCCCTGTTAGTCACAGTTGGAGCCCTATTAAAAATACTACATTGGTTTTGGAATTACAGCTGTTAAAAATATTGGAAATAAATGTTAGTTGTTGCACCTCTTTTAACAGTACCCTGGGGAATGCTGGTTTTCCCGTTACATCATGGAAAGCTGAGTTTCCAACATTTTTTCATTATAGCCACATGCTCTAAAAAGAAAATATTCTAAACTGTGTTAATGTAAAACATAGCTAAGAGGTAAAATTATTTTCCTATACAGGACCGAAATGGTATGTGTTTAGGATGTCAAAGTCTGGAGTTCATTATAGTGTGGAACAGCTGTTTGTTAAGCAGCATTTTTTTTTCTACACTACTGATAGAAAATGGGTTAACAGCTTGCTCTTCAAAAACTTTTACCAGAATAAAAAATATGTATCTTGTTTGTTAATTAAGCAAGAAATCCACAGAAAAGCATGTACTCTTTGGGGGGAGGAAACTTTTTTCCTGAGCTGTCAGTCTCCCCAAAAAATACGTAACTTCTCTAATGTCAAGAAGTACTTTATGCATTTACTGTGGTTCTAAATTGACTCTTTCCTTATTTAGAAGTGTGTTAGCATTCCTACAGGACAGACATAACTTATTCATCAGCCTAGGACATGGTCCAAAGCTCAGTCAAGTAAATTTTCTATTGACTAGATTAGACTTTGGCGAGAACTCCCTCAAGAATAGGTAAAACTGTTAAGACAGCGTAGCTGCAAGTCAGAATACAGCTATCAGGGTGGGGAAAAATTATGTGGAGTAAAAAGGGTGGAGGAAAAGGTGCTGCTCCTGGTTTTGTACAGCAAAATCCGCCCAGTGCAGAAGGACAGTGCCCCCATCATTTAGAACTCAAAGCCATTTTAAACAATGACTGAAATTCTGACCCCATTACAAGTACTGGAAGATTTTACCATGGACTTGAGTGGAGCCAGACCCCTCTGAGTCTGTGTGAGACTTCTGTAATATGTAGACCCTGTTCAGGCTCTCTGAACAGGAATGAATTTTTCCCATTGAGTCCAGTCTTTCCTGCTGTAAAGTAAATATTGATTTTGCAACTGACCTCTTAACGAAAACATTCTCTTGAGCCTTCCACTGATGACACAGATATTGCCAATGATCTTTATAATTTGAAATTTATGATCTTTATAATTTGATCTTTATAATTTTTACTACGAGGCCTACTATAGCAATGGGTGCACACCTACATTTAACTAACAAGTTGCCTTTTTGTATGTGGTTATTACAAAGCCCAAACTGATTTTTTTTTTTTTTTTAAAGAATTGTAGGGTTTTGGCCTTCATTTTAAAAATAAAACACTGAGATTATTTTAAATACCTCAAAACCTACATGGATCGCTTACAATAGGAGGTCTTTGGTCTAAATTACTTTAACAGTGTTCCTTTACCTTGTGTATGCCTTTATTTAATGTCTTAAGTTCAAACCGTACTTATAATTCTGCATCTAACCATGGCATCATTTTATTTCTCTGTCAAATAAACAAGTTTTTTTTATCAGCTAGATAACAGTAAATTGATATGGATGAGATTAGGATTTAATTTAATTTGCTTCTCTGATAGAACAACACTGATAGTGGGTGGGTGAGGAAAATTTCCAGCATTCAAGACGCCTAAGAAGGAATGCTTCATTTCTGAGTGAGAGGCTGAATGACTTAGAATCGATGTGTTTTAAAGATTAGCAGGAAAGTTAAAAAGCAAACAATTTTGAATTTAAGGATGTACAGTGCTCCTCGTTACCATCAAACCCATGTTATTTTGATCTAGATTTCTATTACGCTATGCCAAAAGAGGTCTGAGCAGCTGAAAGAAAGAACAAGCGAATCTTTTCACCCAGAAAGGGTTTGGTTAGCACACGGTATACCATGACAGCAAAAGTGCAGACATTTTCACATTGCCCTTAAGCTAAGAGTGAGAGGAAAGTATGTTCTTCATGCCCATTTCAGTCTTTGAACTCTGATACAAAGCTGCCAAGGAGAAAGCTAGTCACTGACAACTGTGATAACATTTTTGTGATGAGCATACTTCTTTTCAAAGAAGTGGAATGTGGTCTGCAATACATCTCAAGTAGACTATCAAGCAGGCTTTCTGATGGCAACTGTCGTTGGTCACTTTAGAATTAGGCTGGGTTTAAGTACTGCGGCTACATTTCCCAGACTGAGGAATGCGAGGACTCCAAAGTGATGCAGGAAGGCAGTCTGAACAGCCAAATTCCTTCAGCTAGCCTGGGGCCTGGGAGTCTTGGTTTCTGCTGCAGTTTCCAGCGGTGGTGTCCAAACAAACTAAATTTGGAAACACCTACTACTGAGAACTGATCCTCTGCCCAAGCCCTGCTTGCCATTTAATATGAAAAAATAAACATAGAGGAGGCAGAACATACATTATTTTTTCCATAACTAAGAGGTTTTGGAATCATTTCAGGTAATTTCTCCCACCTCCCCACCACCACCAGTTAATGGTATTTGAGTGGGCTATTTGGCACGGGGAGGAACTTCACTTTCAGAGGGAGCTGCGCAAATGATTTGGGCCATATCCTCAGCATTTTACCGATCAATGGATGTAACAGAAGAGACCTTTTAACTGAGTGTGGCTCTCCTCTAATTGTTACCACTTGCATTAAAGGATCACCTAGAGATTTGTAGTGCTCTAAAATATAGGATCCTTCTCTCCTGCCAGGTAGCTCAAGGTTATGAAAGTCTTGCAGTAAAAGCCTTCGGTTTCCTGATGGGGTTGAGATGTAATTAATGAGGCGGTTGCTGATGGTTTTCGACACCATGCTCAGCACGCTGATATCCTTCACTGAAAAAGCAAAACCCAGTATACTTGTAAATCTTTACTGCAAGAAAAATGCTGATCGCTAGTCAATGACTTTATCTTACTTCAAAAACAGGCCAAGAAATAAGATGGACGAATAAAGCAAAATTTAATTACAGTTCATGTCCTTTGCCAACAAACTGAACTAGAAATGGATAGATCTAAGGAATACTTTTCACACATACTAGGCAAAACCCGCTTCAAATAGTTTGTAAATATCATTTAAATTTTGGTCATTTGGCTGAAACATGGGAGCTGAAAATTCAGAGAACAAGTCACATAAAATGACTTGCAACTAGCTAAAAGGTAAAACATTTTAAATAAGAATGGCTTTTTCTAAATGGAAAACTTTTGTGGTAATTTTCAGCTATTGGAAGTAATACCTTTCTTATCAGATTCTCACCTGAAAGATAATTCAATACCATTTGAAAGATCTCCAATGGAAGTGTTTTAAAATATCCAAGTGTTGACAGAGACTGGGAATCTGTGTCCAAGATGTTGCAGCGCTGTCTGGAGCGCCGGTTACTGCGTCTGTACTTCTGGTTAGGAACCAAGGTGTAGCTGGTCCCTGCAGTGGATGTCATTGTTCTGTTTGTCCCACAAATTTAACCTGGAGAGAAAATATGAAAGTCCTATTTTCAGAGGAGGAAAATACTACACCCAAATCTAGGCTAAGAGGAAATCACCCCATTGCAGACACAGCAATGGAGTGTGAAAATCTTGTCACATACGGAGGATAAATTTTTGTTTTAATTTAGTGCAATGACATGCAATTTACTACATAATTTTCTAATTCCATATCTCCAAGAATGGAGTATTCAGCTGATCTTAGAGGAGGAAAAGATAAAAGCACTGGGGGACATCACATGAAGGGGACATCAGAAAGTTAGGAAAATAGTTCTAAAAGGAAACTCTTGAGGAAGTGTATGTGATGGTATGAGCTACAGTAATTAACATTCTTCTACCTTGTTACACTAATTATTCAACAGAATACAAAAAAGTTACAGGGATGTTATTGAAATGATTGTGATTTTACTTGATTCCTTTAGAGTGGTAACTACTTATACACATGCTTGCATATGACCAAAAAAAAAAGATTAAAAGTAACAAAGTGATGCTTCAAACCATTTTTTCTTGCAGCAATTAAGTTGATACATGGCTTAATTTCATATAATGACTATGTGAGTGATATACAAATAACTGATACAGTATTGCTATGCAAAAAATATCAGTGACCCAGGCTTTCCCAAAATCATAAGGGTCTGAAAAGTAATGAGCTTTAAAATAAATATATTCTTTTGATTTGCCTTCTGGTTTCTGAGTCTCTAGAATAGGAACACTTCACATTGTCAGGCAACAATGAGAGTTAGTGACTCACTGCCTCTTAATTCTTTGGGTTTTTTAACTGATATTTTTCACACTATTTCTTGATTCCAGCAGCTGAGGCTTCAGGGAAATTGCCAAAGAGAATGAGTGCTGCAGTATAATTACAAGAGCTGGCAGCACTGGTAGTAACGTAACTGGAACCCGTCCAAGCTGCAGTGCAACATCCCAGTTACCATCAGCGGGAAATACACTCAGAGAATAGACCTCATTGTTTCAAAGATTAAAAATTTACAAAAATTACAGAAAACAAGTTCCAAACATCCTTCATATTTATTACGAAAGCACGCAAGCCAGACCTCTCTAATATGCCACTGAGCAAAATTACCACATCCACAATGGAAGCACTGTTTGTACTGACAACTGAAAGAATATGGGGCATTTCATTAAAAGTGGTACAAATAGGTTTGGCTGACTCGTGCTTCTGTGCTGGATAGAGTTTGCACTGTAGATTTAAGGAGGTTATACTTCACTGGAAGCATTTTTAATTTAGCTATGGTATCGCTCTAGGTAGCTAAAGAAGCTTATCGTGGAAACTTTCACAAGGCTCATGAGCAAATGTAACTGCTCCTAAAATTAGCGTTTCATTAGGCTTTTACGCTGCTCAGGCAAGAGACAGAAAATTGCTGTAACACCTTTAAGAACAATCAAGAAACCACCTATAGATAAATATATGGTTATATGAAAAAAAAAAATGTTTCTCTTCTAAAAGCAAAGAAAGCAAAGTCTGAAGTCAGTGGAAATTTTATACACACAACTGTGGATTCAAGGCCACTTAAATTCCTTGCGTACAATATTTGCAGCAGCTCCTCTCCTGTTTATAAACAGGGCACCACTGAACTTTGTAAGACAGGCTACCTCTGATATATACTTCCGATTCATACTGTAGAAATAAAGTTGCAATCCTATGATACTTTCTTTTCCTCCCCGACTCCCCTTACTGTCTTTAGCAGGACTGTACTGTAAGGATTTATGGCATCTTTAAGTGTTTTTTGATAAATCTTACCTTGGGTCTGCAATTGTGTTGGATGGAATAAAAAAATACTTCACCACAAGGGAGGTTTTCGGAAGTACTCAGCCAATTCCAGTCTGTTTCTATTCAACTTGATTGAAGTTGAATGGACTACCACTATTTTAATTTAGAGCAGAGCGAGATAAAATTAATGTAAATAAAAATGAGTATGAGCAGCGGGTTTCAAAGCCGAAGCTTAGAGACTTTACTGAAAGCTCCCATTTGCTTCCTCTTTGACTTAACGTCATTTTTATTTCTTAGGGAGTTCAGCCAGAGCGGGGCAATGGTCTGTGCATCTCCATCTGCTGCTGGGATAGCGCTTGTTTAGAGAACTGCTTAATCCAGACTGGAAAATTGAAAGGTAAATGTTAAATATTTAACAAGCTCAACTCAAAATATTAGCCAAGAAGGGTCATCTTATTTGTTGTTATAAGCTAATTTGTTTACAAGGCAGAAAGCATCAACTTTCGCTCTAGCGTGTTTCTTGTCCTTAAGCAGTCGCTAAACTCCTGCTAATGGATGCACTTTTGTCCTGCTATTTCTCTGAGCCCTGTGTTAGCCATTGGCAAACATTTACTGCAAAAGGTTGTTTACTTTGGAGATTGCTTTGGAACATTTCCGTTTCCCTGCCTTGCCACAAAAAGCATAAACCGAATCGTTTCAAATATTAACTCGATAGGGTGGTGGGGTTTTTTTTTTTTCTTCCAATTTTTTCTTTTTCCTTGTCAGTGCAAATAAAAACGTACAAGTTCAAGCGAGGGATGACAAACCTTAGAGCACTGAGCGCAGCCATACAGTTTCGTTAGTACTTGTTACCCCCTGGCCTACACCGACAGTTTACAAAAACTGTATTTTTATTTATGCTAAAGGCTTTATATCAGATTGGTAGTGCAAACCAGTCCCGTAAGCATCTAAATTGGTAAGTAGAGTAGAAAGCACAGCTCAGGAAATCCTAACCCTGTTGCTGATGGCGACTGGGATTTTTTTCTTCTGAGGAAGGGCTGGCTCGGGCTCGTCCCTTCGCGGTCTGGTCGGAGGGGAAACACCAGAACCTGCTTTTTTCCCTCAGCCCAGGCTGGGTTTGCTCCTCAGACTGCAGTATTTGAGGGAGTGGGTTAATATTTGGCCTTTTACCTGCGCTTTTGGGTCGGATTTAGCCGGGATGTGACAGACCTTTAGGCCAAACGAGCGGCTAGGCCGCGTTCTCCACGGCCCCTCTCCCCCACAGCCCGCCAAAATTCCGGGCTAGGGGGCTGAAAACGGGCACCGGAGCCCCCAAACCTACACACAGGAAATAGAGGAGGTCTCGCCGTCGATGCCTACTTATAGACAACACCTTAGGAGCAATTTTTCACCTCAGGAAAAATCCCTCCTACAAACACCTCCCGGCCAGGCTGCCTCTGAGGGGA